AATTGTTCACAAATTTATCTGCCAGCTAATATTTTAAAAAAAAAAAAAAAAAAAGGATGATTGGCAACAGATGTTAGCTCAGGACTAGTCTTCCTCACAAAAATAAATAAATAAAAAAATAATAAATCATGCTACCGTTTATGTGAACAACAGAAGATATCCCGAGGGCAGAAATGCAGTAAAATCTAGTTTTAATTTGTTAGGCAACATTTTACCAATACTGCAAACAAAAAGGAGAAAGAAAGTCATATGCTGAGAGGAAAAAATTCTACAGTTGAATATGTTAGCTGGCAGATCCAGGAGTAAGGGGTGTAGACTTGTAAGAGTGAAATAAAGTCAAGGATTACGATAAAATTAAAACTCAACTGCAGAAGGAGCCAAACACAGGGCTTGGGAATCCACTTGTAAATACTCAGTCTATACTAGTACGTGTTGGCCAATGATCAGTTCTGGTTTGTTACAGGAGACATGAAACATCACCATGACTGGTTAATTAGTGGTCTCTGCAAGAAATCCTTAGTAAGATCAGGATTACTCACGTGATATCCCTTCGTTGATAGCAGCCCTGAAGCAGGCAGGCAATTAGGTCACTGATGAACTCTGCGTCATCTCTGTGAAGAGCTGCTTCTAACTCCTGAGAACGAGGAGGAGAGAGACTGAGAAATCAAACACCGAGATGTCTTAAAATCCATCCACCCCTCCCTTCCACCACCACCACCACCACCATCACCCCCAAGCAACTGATTGGCCAGTGCAGCAGAAGTGCCTCTTGTGGATCAACTCTGCCCTTCCTCCCACAGTTACTGCCGGAAGAGCAGCGACAGCTCAGCTCTTTGTTTTCCCATGCTCCCACTGCTCCTTATAAAGCTCATTCCTTTTGTCTGCACACCAGAAGAAACACATATATATCTCCCTTCATAAATCAAGGCTAGCATAATTATCAAAGAGCTTAACATATAATATGCTGCTGTTTTCTATTTTAACGGCAAGAGAATAAAGGAACAAATATGTAATTAATTAGAAAGTATTCTTCATTTACTTAACAGTTTCAACAGGTAAACCATCTGCAACAGCTTTAAAGAACCACTCATATATATTTTGGTGAGGAAAATTGTTCCTGAGCTAACATCTGTTGCCAATCTTCCTCTATTTTGTATGTGGGACACCACCACAGCATGGCTTGATGAGAAGGTGTGTAGGTCCATGGCAGGGATCTGAACCCACCAACCCACCATCATTTGGTGGCGAAGGCCACCAAGGAGAGTGCTCGAACTCAACCGTTACGCCACTGGGCCAACCCAAGAACCACTATATTTTGGGGGAAAAAAACACTGGTAGTAAGCAATTTGGGAATTTTTATTGTGAGGACACTACACTCACATGACTGATGATAGGAGATTGCTAGAACAGAGATTAATCTTACATCATCTGGAGAGAAGTGAGGTAATGTCTATATTAATGATCTAACGCTAGGTGAGATGTATTTGCTTTCCTTGGGGTTCAGGTAGACAATGCCAAAGATTTAGCTTGTCTGAGCACAGTACTCTAAACAAAGATTAGTTGAGAAGAGCTACAGGGACAAAAAGTGACGGTGGGGAATTCTAAAAGATCTTATTTCTCTTCTCAATCTCCCATAATAAAACCAGTATCTTCTGAGATGATGAAATACGGATGTTCTAAATCATCAACTCTGGTGACGCAAAGTTTGCCTGCCTTCTTTCAACCAGCATGCTGTCTATTTTCTGCATGCAAACCATTTTCCAAGGGTCCACTATGCCTATGATTTGACCAGCTCATGACCAGATCTTTATTTATCCACATCTATAAACCAAACTTTCAAGGGTCTTATTAATGGTTCTGAAAGTACAAGGTGTCCATAAGATGCAATTTCTGACCTTGACACCAATTACAAGGCAGTGTATACTAAAGAGGATAGTCTGCTTCTAGTATAAAAACAGTAAAATTCTTTTGTAAACTATATTAATTGTTCTATTTATTATTTTATTTTTAAAAATTCCTAAGTTTGTAAACACTTACTCTGTAAAAACTTCACAGGATGAAAAACTGCTAAGCACACTGATACAAATAAACAAAATACAAACTACCCTGAGGCAGTTCCCCAGGTGAATGCAACTCAAAATTCAAAGACAAGGCTCAAATTTGAAAACATTTTGCTTGCCTTAAACACAAATTTGGGAATTATTAACATATCTATAACAATGGTTCTTATTCTTATACTAGCTTATTAATTCCTTTGGGCAGAGTTCTTTTCTACATTCCAGTTAGTGATTATCCAGAAAAATAAGAAACTCTACCAACCAGAGATAACAAGGATCTGAACTATAATTAGTCAGAATTCATTTATTTGACAAATATTTACTGGGCACCCACCTTGTGTAAGATAATATAGTACTTCCCAAGCACTGGGGAGCTTACTAGTTAGGAGAGATAAGATAGTACAAAAAATGACAAACAAAGTAATTAGCACTATTAGGTACAGAAAAGGTGCTCCAGGTGCTGTGGGAGTTGAGAAGAAAAGGATTACTTCTGGCTCTGTGAAGCCTGAGAGATTTCATGAAAACGCCGCACCTGAGCTGGAAAACCGGTGACCTATGTGACAATGGAGAGGCAGGGCGTAACCAGGGGCAAGGAACAACATGAGCAAAGACATCAAACAGATAGTAGGCTCAGTTTAACTATTCTGTAGATTATGTGAGGGGAGTCATGTGAGCTAAGATTGAAAGCCAATACTGAACACCGAGCTAATGAGTAAGGCCTTTCTTTGGAAGACAACAGGGATCCACTACAGTTATTTACAGAGGAAAGGCACACTGAGATGAATCCATATGCTGTGTACGTAAGACGAATTCTAGTAGCAGAGGGGAGGAGGCGAAAATGTTCAGCACAAGCAACAGCCCAGGAGAAAGATGCTGAAGGATTTACTGAACGAGAGAAACAGCAGGAAGGAGAAAACACGAATTGAAGATCTGACAGAAGTCAATGAGAGACAAAGCAAGGGAAGATTTGAATGACTCATATTTTAAGCCTGGTCGACTGGGCAAGACTCCAAAATACACTGCAATTATAATAGAAGCCGAACCCTTGAAGCAAAAAGTCCCAGGCCATCTCCTTTGACAGATAAGCCAGAATGATCAAATGCTAGATAGAACTGGAAGGGAAATCACAGATCATATTATTTCAAGTCTCTCAATTTAAAGATAAACTAGGTCCAGAAAGGTGAACTAACTTCTCCAGATGCACTCAGCAAATCACAGCCAAGTGAAACCCAGATCACCCAGTCCAGTGCTCTTCCCACAAACTAAGCGGCTTCCCACTGGCTCAGGCACTCTTGTCCTAGAAAGGCCTGACATGTTTCAACATTTACAATAATCGCCTCATTAAGCCCCCATACAGCACTCTCCCTATGTAGAAGGAAATCCCTTCCTGTCTCCCTTCTGCCAAGCCATACTGTAGTCCCTTACGTGGAAAACTTGTATCTATACAATCTTCCTAGCTGAGTTTCACTTTGCCGATTCTTCCAGCATCTCCTTCATCTGTATATGTTGACACATTGTTACACATTTCTATTGATGCTCTGTCCTTTTCCCCATGGTGTCAATTAAGAGCACAGTGTGATTCTTGATTAAAGGCGCTGTAGTCTGTACTAAGTGATGCTTCCTAGTGTTTTTAAAGAACAGTACCAAATTAAACTAAGATAAAGGCCACATTGGAAGAGTTAAGAACTGGGAAGGCTTTACCAAGGAGGGGACCACAAGAAGTTTGCCACAGATCACTGGAGGCGTGCCAGGATTCCTAGAAGCCACAGGAGACATGTGGATCACTTTTATTCTGTAGTAAATAATTTAAATTATTTTATAAAACAATCATACTGTAGAGCAAAATGCAAAATCTGCATCAATTTTTAGCAGAGATTCCTAAAAAGATGTCACTCTTGTAGGAATAAGTTCAAGCTATACCACTAAGGCCCTTTCTCTTCCATCTCTGGTCTCCCAGCCGCAGACATTCTCTTCCGGCTTAGGTGGAAACACTGGACCAGGGCATTTCCTTCCTATCAGTGTCACTTCACCAGATGCAAGTTCTAGCTGTCCAGTTTCTAACTATAATACTGTTCTCTGAGGAGGCAAAACCAAAATGTTGTAGCAATAGTGTCACTGAATGCCCCTTCTGTTCCTTAAAAATAACACAGTGTTAGTTTTATTCACCTCCTCTTCATAAGCTGCTTATGGAAAAGGAACGTTCTTGTTTTCTTCTCTGGGGCCATACATATAACATTAGCATAGAAATTAGCAAATAGTAGGTAGTCAAATTAACTCATATATATATATTTATATATACTTCACCTACTATATGCCAGACAGTAGGGATATAAAGGTGAATAAGAAAGCCCAATACGTTTATGGAACGATGGAAGGGAAAAGGAAGGGAGGGAATCTGGGAGGGCTAAACTATAAAGCCAGAAATAAGAAATTTTAATTTATTTATTCTTTATTGTGTTCGCTACTGTCTCCCTAGCAACTAGATCAGTGCCTGATGCAGAATCAATGTTCAAATATTTTTGAGTGACTTGCTATCATTGACTGAATGATAGCAAAGAATTATAAGACAAAGTAATAAATGCTATATTAAATACTTAAATGATATGGGAAAATGGGAAAAACTAGAGAAACTGAGGATAGCATAGAGTAAGACTTTGCCAAGGAGATACATTTGCATGGGGCCTTGAAGGGGAGACTCTTACCTGGCACAGGCACAGTGAGGAAGAGTATGTGAAGTTCATGGCATGTGTACAGGTACCAAGTGCTCTCCCCAAAGGGGAGATGGTAATTAGAGAACAGCAGACAGGACAAGCCTATTTCTTGAGGAGCTTCTCTGAAAACCACACCAAAGAGTGTGGATTTTCCTTCCATACGCAATCAAGTCTGAAGACGGAGAGTGAAATGATCAGACCTCCGTCTCAGACAAAGAGTTCTCAGAGTAGCATGCAGAACGACTGCAGGGTAACTAGAGGTGGGACCAACCTGGCAGCGTCAGCATCACCTGGATGCTTGCTGGAAGCACAGCACCTCAGGCCCCACGATAGACTTACTGAAACCAGAACCTGCGTTCGAACAAGAGCCACAGGATTCACACGCATATGTAGTTTGGGAGGTGCTAGCCCGGAAGACGAAAGGTCAGAGCCTGCAGTAAATAAAGCAGCAGCTGTGGGAATAGAGAAGGGAAGGATTTCAGAACACGTGCAAGATGAATAAATGCTGGTTTAATGAAAAAAGAAATAAAATCGCCAACAAAAATGAAATAATGCATAGACCTAAAATGCTCTAAAATATATGAGAGAACTCTCAAAAATCAACTTCATTTCTGACATAAGGACTCTGAATGAAATCCTTACGCTGCAACCCAACCATATTCAAATGATAACCTCAAGAACAGCCAAAACTCCTTATTTATCTAAAAACACTACCATTAATGTATGATTATAATCAAACCATTCAGACGATGTCTGGTTATTAACATCTGTGGAATTTTTTTTGTGTGTGTGAGGAAGATCAGCCCTGTGCTAACATCTGCCAATCCTTCTCTTTTTGTGCTGAGGAAGACTGGCCCTGGGCTAACATCCATGCCCATCTTCCTCCACTTTATATGGGACGCCGCCACAGCATGGCTTGACAAGCGGTGCATCAGTG